GTTTGAAACACTGACAAGTCGTAGATTTTAAAGAGGCTTTGTCCTTTGTCGACGCTTCTTATGCTTCTAACGTTCCATTTGCGAATCCATCGAAGGTAAATATACGTTTGATTTCAAATACTTGTTGCTTCCTTCAATTCGCAAGTGAAACTACATTGTAATAAAAATATTCCTACATTTTAATGAAATTCTCTCTATATATATTTTTGGAACTGAATTCCTGCAGGACATTGTCATAGTTTTTGAGGAGATGGGAATATGGTCAAAAGTTCTTGAGCAGCATCAATAAATAGTGATCATTTCGACCGCTTTTAATTTTTACTGATATATTGTTTATTTAATCTTCGTTGATATTAAGTTGATAGCATTGCTTGTCGGCCAACCAGCGCTAGTCATGACACGCCCCTGGAATATTCGTTTTCGGTGACTGAATGCGGGTCAGGGGATAAACAGTTTCTCGATAAATTTTACATTGATTTCGTAGCTTTCACTGATTGATGGTCTGATCCAAGTTTGCTACATTTTCTGGATCATTTAAAATGGTGAGTTTGATTATTCCGATCGGTAATTCAACAGTACGTTTCGTGTTTAACCGTGTTAAATTCCTATCGAGATTACTTGGAGACAGTAGTCAGTACAATGAGACTTTATCCACCTGCTCAACTATTATTCAATTTTTTCTGTCAAATTTTTTTTAATGAAAATTCCGAGTGTGTTGTATCTTATTAACACTATGAGAACAGCTTTTTAATCTAACCTCAAATAAGATAAATGTCAAAATGGCGCCATTCAGTGACATACATTCCTATATAGAAAATTTTGATTTTTTATCAAAAGTTTACACGTGTATAAATTTTTTTATATCTACTCGCATACCCTTATTTCAATGCTCTTTCCAAAATACCTATTGTAGAACATGAAATACGTGAATCTCCCATATCAAGCTTCGCCACACATCGTATGACAGACTCGCGAATTAATATTCTTTTATTATATGGATGTTGATTCTTGATTTCAAAGACGGAGAAGCAGATGGACTGCGCGTTAGATTTGATGAGAAGACTGCCGCCTCAACAGATCGAAAAGAATTTAAGTGATTTAATAGATTTAGTGCCATCGCTGTGCGAGGAACTTTTATCCTCCGTCGATCAACCCTTAAAAATCGCGAAGGACAAAGAATCTGGAAAGGATTATTTACTCTGCGATTACAACAGAGACGGAGACTCATATAGGTGATTAATCACAAACTTTTTGATCGCGATTAATTTGTACTAATTTCACAAATACTTTCGCAGGTCTCCTTGGAGTAATACGTACGACCCGCCGTTAGAAGATGGTTCAATGCCTTCTGAGAGACTTAGGAAATTAGAGATAGACGCGAATCATGCGTTTGATCAGTATAGGGAACTGTATTTCGAGGGTGGCGTCTCCTCTGTCTATTTGTGGGACTTGGATCATGGTTTTGCGGCAGTGATACTGATTAAAAAAGCAGGCGATGGTTCGAAAAAGATCAAAGGTTGTTGGGATTCTATTCATGTAGTGGAAGTTCAAGAGAAAACCAGCGGTAGGACCGCGCATTACAAACTAACTTCCACCGCGATGCTTTGGTTACAAACCAATAAACATGGGTCTGGGACGATGAACCTTGGTGGGAGCCTCACTAGACAGGTTCGTTCTTGTTCGCATCTGCGGAACTAGTTTCAATATTCGCGTACGTCATATCTGTACATGATATTCGTCTTTAGGTGGAACAAGATGCTCAGATAAGCGAGAGTTCTCCGCACATCGCCAACATCGGTCGGATGGTCGAGGATATGGAGAACAAAATCCGAAACACGCTGAACGAAATTTACTTCGGCAAAACGAAAGATATCGTGAACGGTTTAAGGTCCGTACAATCTCTAGCCGACCAGAGACAACAGGCTGCTCTGAGACAAGATCTCGCGGCCGCGTTGCAAAGGAGAAGCGCCAATAATTGATCTTCCGAGGAAGATGAGCTCTCCTTCAATCTTGAAGATTGTCAATAAAAAAACAAAGAAAAAGAAGTAAACGAGAAATCATAAATGATGTAATTAAGATACGAATCGCTCCAGTGAGCGACACTGCGGCGAAGAATTTCGGACGGTTTCCTGTGATATACAGGGTGCAACGGTAAAGATGAATTTTTCCTGAAGTATTAAAAAGAATGAATAATTGAATATCAATTATTAATTATGTCGAGATTTTGAATAAAATATTGAGAGACATTACGAGTGTCTGGATTATATATATATGTATATGAATGTAATGTATACGTATAAATATATAGGATGTGCTTAAAGGTATGTAACACCTTAGCTGAAATGTTGCATTTAAACATCAAGCCGACTTTACGATGATAATACGTTCATAGAATACGATATATTTTACAAGTTCTCTTTTTAATAAATTTAAAACAGTTTTATATACTTGTTTATTGCTTTTGTGCAATCTCTTTTTACTAATTTAGATATATGGACCTCTGTTAAGTGTTAGCGTTGAACAAGTATTATTATGAAGCCGAGGTACATTTTTATAGTCCTTGTTTATTAATTTTATAAATCGCTGTATATTTCTCGTTATACATTTATCCGATCCGGAAATTTACCTACGCGAATGTACAGTCTTTATAATAATACTCTTAACGCATCTTCTCGTTTCTTAATGAAATTCATCCAGTTAATGTGCACAATGTTTAGTATACATAGGTGTAAGTCGTCAAACATAATTTATACTTGTATAAACGTGTCTCATTTTTACAACGAATAAATTTAAATAGGAAAGCAGCTGCGTATATATATGTATATATATATAGCACATTCAAGATACATTCATGTTACATATCTTTAAGATGTTCTCCGTGTGAATGAGTGTGCGTGTGTTTTACCCGTGTACGTGGTGGGCTCGCATGTACGAGCAAAATATATATATATATATATTTATATTATAATATACATACGTATATGTATATATAATGGCACTCGCAATGTTTTTTTAATCATTAATAACAATTATTAATAATACGAGATATAAGAGTATTAATGTTTGAAAAATGTAGGAATATTAAAGAGAATATTTGCGAATAAACTTCTAACAAGTTGTTCAATGATTTCGTCGCCCAAATAATTTAATCTCATGTTTATCTGTTCACGTTTACAATTGAATTTAATTTGCTTTATTCATCGGTTTCTTCTGATACAAAGCTAATATGAAAAATTGTTTAATGGAAATAAAGATTACGGACTTATCGAGGAAAACTATTAAAAGACATGTTAACCGATCAAACAAATGTAAAATTACCAAGTCTGAATTAATACTGAATATTCTCTCTCTCTCTCTCTCTCTCTCTCTCTCTCTCTTGAAATATCATCGAAGGTTGATACAAAAGCATTTGACGGGCTTTTTTCTCATTTTATTTATCCATTTATCCTCCATCGATTTTCCGTCGTATAAACAAATGCTCATTGGTATTCCATTTATTTACTTATATACTTTTTATATGTCTGTTTTTGTCTGTTTCTCAAATCCCATAATCGTGTACTTTCGCATACGGGTACTCGTGTTAAGTATTCTCAATATACTTTTCCACTGCATGTATTTCGTATATGTGTTCGTCTATTCCGCGTGTGTATATATTTTATTTTTTTATATACGCCAATGCTGGTGATCTTATATTTTTTTTTATTCTTTTTTCGTGGAAAACATTCATTTTTTAAAAATATTATCAAAGTGCAATCGAATTTATTCTACTACGAATTTAATTGGTGTATTAATTATAAGAGTGCACATGAAATTTAATAATACTTCAAGAATATTTGTCAGTTTAAACAGATCCGTTCAAAATATATTGATAACTATGTTAGACGAAATAAATTTGATTAAACTGCAAGATTTCATTTATTATCAGACATACTGGTTAACTACATACTAAAGATATAATTGATAGATTAAATCAAGTCTTTTTTTTAACGCTAAAAGTAGTTTGAAAATATTCTCGAAATATCGTGTCATCCGTGCTTTTTCCTTCGCCGAAAATTGCTCTACGATTAGTTTATTAAAATTCGTAAGAACTTAAAGAGAACGACACCAGCAGTGGTGCATAATCAATTAAACCGAATGTCGAGAAGCAGAAAGAAACGGTTTCCGTCTTCTCGTCGTTCAAAACGATCGTGTGAGGCCGACCGATCGATTCGTTCTTTTTCTCTTGTTTTCATCTTCAGTTCTTTTATCGATTAAATTCATTTATCTAGGTCGTCTTAATCTTAAATTAGTCTGCTTAGATTATAGGTAGCTTAGTTGCTTCTTATCATTCATTTATATATATATATTTTTTAACTTCCTTACGTTTTCTTTTTGCTTTCTCATAGATAGTATGGTCTGATTTGAAGAATTTGAACGTGTGCAACTGCGACACCGAAACTTCAAGTCAGAAATCCGAAATCAAGCGATTGTTAAACTGAAAAATTTCAGAATCGCGAGTTCTGACGTGTATCATCTTATATGCACGCACACACAGTCTAAAGTACAAACTGAATTCCGAAATTTCGTGTTAGGATTTACGTGTATGTGGGAGTGTTAATATTCACCGAGGTTCGGAGTTCAAAGTTTATCTCAAAGCATTATCAAATTTTTCATTTGAAAATGATTAAATACAAAATAACACAGGCTATACGTATGAATACTTAAATGAAACTATTTTTTCTCTCTTCGACGTTCACACAAAATTAATAAAAATTCATTAGATCTATGTAAAAAAAAGTTATCTTTTCCTTTAATTTCTCATTATTTTAACTGTAAGGTTCAAGCGACAGATATTATAATCCTTTATATACATCACTGAAAAATGAAATTCATGTTGTTTTTACAATTATGAATAAAATTTTAGAATTTAGATTTTAATAAAATGAAGAATTTTTAAAAGTAGTGACATTACAGGAATAGATTTCTACCGGATAGAAAGCTTTCGGTTATATGAAAGATTTTAGAGATTTCTGTTAAGACACAAATTTTTTGTTTCAAATGAAATCCTCAAATCTCGTAGATACTTAATAAAGATCAGACAGGATTATAAGTATATAAAAAAAATTCAAAATCAAAACAAGGAATTCTAAATTAAGATTGACTTTCTAAAACGCAATCTTTAAGAATAAAGGAAAACACAAAACTGTGTTGAGTTCAAATTGAAGAGGAATCAAACTTCAACGAACATTGTTTTCGTTGAAAATGTTAATTCATCAAAAATCAAGGGTCCACCGTAATAGAAAGTTTGACAAATTTTATCGGAACGAAATTTCAATATCATAATACATGGACAAGGGGTTTTATCTCAAGGGAACAAAACTATTACTTAACATAAATAGTTAGAATTCCAAGCCAACGGAATTTCAATAAAATCATACCGGAACTGCAACTTGCGGCGTTCACCGAATGATGTAATTGGAATTCCAACAGAATTCTAATTTCATAAATTTTGTTCGAAATCACAAATCAAAGTGAAACATGTGACGTAGCCGTCTTTCAGTAATTTCTTGCCGTAAAAACTGCCATGTTAATATCAACACTTTAAACCGCCAAAGACATTTATTTCCCAAGGTCTAAGCTGATACTGTTTTTCGATTTATTCTCTTTTTATTTCTTTTTTTATTTCATTTTTGCAATTATTTAATTATTCGTAATCCTTTCCTCCCTCACACTTACATGCTCGCGCACGTTCTTTTTCGCTTCCTTCCCTTTATTATTATTCTTTTAAATGTTTGCCTCTTCCCCTTTCCTTGTTCTTGCCATTCTTTCCAGTCCTCTTCTCCTCCCGGCTGTGCCCCCCACTCCTTCTCTTCTCTATTTGTTGTTGGTAATAGTTCTTATGTTAACCATTGATCATCTCAATATTGTATCTTAGGTTTCTTTTAATAATATATTAGCTGTGTGTGTTTTTTTCTTTAATGTGATGGTGGAGTCTGGACTGAACACAATTATTTATCGATGGCAGTGTTAGTTTTGATGGCGATCACAACTTCTTCACCGCATGCTTTCAGCACAGTGCACTGAAAAATAAAAGACGAGAGTCATTTCACAGTGAACGTTCGTTTCAGCGGTTATTATTCGTGGTAAAATCGAAGAAACTTACAAGAAGCTCTTTTCCAGCTTCGTGGTCAGCACGTAACTGAGCACCTAATTCACCGTCAGGAATTTTTAAATCTTCACGAAGTTCACCATTATCAGCCATCAGGCATAAATAGCCATCGTCAGATATGTCTGCTAGCTGTAACGTCACCGAGAACATTGTATTACAAAGAGAAACAGAATCTGGATAACAATTATTAGATGATGATGTTCGAAGATACCTGGTAATCTTCTCGCTTAACGAAGGGCACATCCATGTTGTGCGTAGAAGGACAAATATCTTCATACTTTTTTGAAGTGAAAATATCGATGCCTACGAGATGTACCTTAGCATGGCCGTGTTTCCCAGTTTTTGATGTTGACATTTCTACAATTTTACACGGCCGAGATTTGAGCATTACGAACCCGTTCTTGCGCAGAGCCGAGCACTGCATTGGGTATGTTACAGAAGCACCGGAGTCTCCGGTCTCGAAGTGAGTATCCTCTATGTCTGCCATCCTTAGTTTATTGTGTTTCTCTGAAATTACAATTCGACTTCTGCTGACAATGAAATTTAAAACTTGAATAATTATACCAATCAACGGAACATATTTTGGAAATAAAGCAAAAGATTGGTAAATTCTTTTCGATACTTTTTGTACAATAATAACTGTCTTGCAATTTTTAGAAGATATAAATTCAAAGGTATCGCATAAATTATAGTCCTTACAAAATGGAATTTGTTTTTAACAAATATAAAATTCATAACAAACAATACTAAAAATTACTGTTTCGGATGGAAATAGAATTTGCTATGCAACTGCGAGCAGTATATCACATAAGCAAACATTTCATCATGTTTTGTGAAAATACATCGAAATTACAGAGTCGATAGATATAAATACAAAAGATATAGATCTATATAGCCGTTCACAATTCACAATATGTTTTGAAATAGATACCTAAGCTATTATTTATTTACACTTAAAAAGTGTACAAGCACATTGAATGCACAATGCGGTTACTAGTTCCGATTATAAACAAATGATTTGGCAAGTTATTGTACGAAAGGTTGGACAACACAAGGAACGTGTCTCGTTACATAGGTCGTAGTCACCAAATATTCCCAAAAAAAGTCAAGAGTTTGCGGAGCTGCTACGAGCGAATATTGGACACGAACCGAACTCGAATATCGAGCGATTAATCGTCTATGAGAAAAACATTGGCGGGACGAGTCTGGGACATGAGAAGTTCGGAAAAGCTTCGGTGAAAGTGATTGCGGAGGATATGGAACACGTTGTGCAGGCACAATCTAACCAAAGATTCCACCCGGCTGACAGTTCCTCGGTTATCGAGCCGTCTTTACGGAATATCAATCGGGGAAGCTCGCGAAAGTCGGAATTACCTTCGAGGACGAGTTTACTGCGGTTTTTTCACCGTTTTCCTTGAGAAGATGGCGCGAAAAGGATCGCGTGCGGTTGGTTCGTCGTCGAAGTCGCCGACTCTCTCTCGAGAAACGTTCGATTGATCACGGACAACGATCGTCCGTATTAACGCCGTTCTCGAGCCTTTGGCTTATTTGTCTCGGAGCACGTTTTAACGAACTTGTTCGTGTGATCACAAGCTGATCAGCTAGACTCACCGTGAAAAAAAGGAGAACAGACTGGAGATACTCACATGTGATCAAAATGGACACTCTAACCAGAAGAGCTGGCCGCGCTTGCGCGAACCGCTAATCGGCGATAGGGGGCCACCCGAATGGATCCACGGATTCCAGCCGGGAGTCAATGTGGGGGACGTTGTTGGACGTGAAATTTTGTGCCAGTTGGAACTAGGCTTGCCATTATTGCCACACGTCTCTCCGATTCAAGAGAGATTTCCCTCCCTTCGGCACCGGAGTACACCAATTACATTCCTCGACAAAACAGTTGAGAAAACGCTGTTCTCTGACTTCGAAGTTCGCATCGGTCAGAATTTCCAATGCGCAGGCGCCGAGCCTCGATCAATTTTAATTTAACATCAAAATAGAACAATGAAATGGAACAAACAAAGGTATAAACGTTTGCCGTATCGAGATTGACGAGGGATTACGTTACAAACGTTTAATAAGAATTATCAACAATAACAATTTATTACAAAATACATTTGCACATTGTTACATTGTAATAAATGCATACAAGACGGAAGTTTCAATTATGCAAATCAGACTGAATGAACTCCTTCAATAAATGCCGCAACCGATTTGATCGGTGTATCTGGCTGAATACCATGCCCCAAATTCGCAATATACCGTGTTTTACCGAATTTCGCTACCATGTTTCGAGCACGATCAATTATCTCTTTCTGTAAAAGACAAGCACATTAATACTTTTCATAATATGGTAATAATAACATCTGTACAAACCTCAGAAGCATACATTGCACAAGGATCTAAATTTCCCTGCAACGTGATATCGGGACCAAATCTTTCTCTTGCCTCTGTAGGATTAACCGTCCAATCCAAGCCTAAAACTTCATAAGATTTCGATTTTGCTAACATCTCGAGGGAATTGATGGTCGCACCTTTAGGAAAAGCAATCTAAAATTTATTTCTGCTTTAGTAACGTAAAGAAAACTAAATAGAGTAATAAGTGGTACATCGTGTTTATTTTACTAACCATCGGTACCTCAGGAACATTTTCTTCTTTCAATCGTTGTCTCACCTTCTCGCTGATCTCCTTCAAGTATTTATAGGAATACTTCTCAAACAGTTCGTCGTTCAGAAAATCCGCATGACTTTCAAAGACCTGTAACAACTGTGCCCCAGCTTTCACTTGCATCACAAGATAATCTATTATAACGTTCGCGATAAGATGCAGAAGTTTATGAGAATCTTCTGGGTATTTGTATAGCCATTCTCGTGCTTTTGTCATTGTCGAACTACCTCCACCTTGGATCATGTAGCTCATTAATGTCCACTAACAATTGATAAACGTTTATAATTGTATATGACTTTTAAAAGTTAGGATACATTATTTGGAAGGTTGCTTAACTTACCGGTGCTCCAGTAAAACCAATTAATGGTACTTTCCCTTCTAACTTATGCCTTGTCAAGGTAATAGCATCCCCTACGTACTTCAAATCTTTTTCTACATTTGGTTGAACTAATCTGGCCAAATCCGATGGATCTTTTAAAGGTTCAGGTATAACTGGTCCCTGAAATTCATTACATTTACATCTTTCTAATAAGCACTTGCTTAGCAGAAAGCCATAAAGTAAGTGTATACCGTTCCTGGGACCATTGTAACAATTAATCCCATTGCTTGTGGTATAACCAAGATATCTGAGAAAATTATGCTAGCGTCCAAGTCAAATCTTTTGATAGGTTGCAAAGTAACTTCGCAAGCCAAAGCTGGTGTCTGGCAAACAGAAAAGAAATCATGTTTTGATCGGACTTCATGAAATTCTGGGAGGTATCTCCCGGCTTGGCGCATAATCCACATTGGTACACGTTCCACGGGTTCGCCTCTCGCAGCTTTTAAGATCAAGTCATTTTTTAATGCTGGAAACCCCGTTTGCGCCATTATTAGTGTCTAGAAACGAAAATTCATTGTAGTTAGAATTCTATCGATAAAAAGAACAAGATCGAAATTATTTGCATTGTTTTTGTCTGCGTACTTACTGTTGAATCGTATCAATGCGACAGTTTTTCTTTTCGTAACAAACTAATTTTCTCGGATTGTTAATTGTCACTTATAAAAGTATTAGAGAACGTTTCATTGAAAGTCGAATTATAAATGAATCGTTTCTTAAACCCTTTTATGTTTCATTCAAAAATGTTATTTAATAACAACGTAAGAACATTAGAGGTAGATATACAAGGTATGAGTTGCACTTTTACGACATCAACGCACTGGTCACTCTAACCTATGATAACTAAATCATTGGTTGAAATTATGTGATAGAACGAGGAGGATTTATTGTAAATTTCTCATATTAAATCATGTTGTTGATCCTTACGAATGAAAGAAATCTAAAATATTTTTCGAAAGCACTTTTACATTATTATTTTATTAATCATTTTCACGTATTTGAACGTAAGAGTGATTAGGTGGAAATGTGATTAAAGTGCAATTTTATCTGTTATTTGCTTTCATTAGTTCAGATTATAAAATTTCTTGTATGTATTTTCGAAAACTCAATCCATTCTTTTTCCATCTGGCGGTAAAAAGGTAGTGTATGTACAGGTACACATGTAATTTGTATGCACACTAAATAGTGCAGAATAGTGCGATCGTGCGATAGTGCGATGAAGTGATCGAGGTAATATATTACGTGCAAGAAGGGATGCTCCTCATCTCTTATCATGTATACGTAAAATAAAGATGTTTGTTTATAGTTGATAGTTATCCCAATAATACTAAAGACCATGGATTACGAGTTCAAGCTGAAAACTGATACAGATAGGACGAAAGTAGAGGACTTGTTCGAATTCGAAGGATGTAAAGTCGGGAGAGGAACCTACGGACACGTCTATAAAGCCCGTAGAAAAGAAGGGTTAGTGTCACTAACCTAACGTAGAAGATCCGTAGAATTTGACAATACGGTATTTCAGGTCAATAATAATGATCTTTCAGTTGCTTAAAGCGTACGACTTGTTTTTCGAACGTTCGAACTTTCCGTCCGAACGTTCCAATGAAACTGCTTCCTCGTACAGATCTCGTACGATTCACAGGATTCTCAATTAAATTCGTTTATATTTGAATCGTTCTGAATATTGAAAATCTTTTAAAACATAGATTTTATTTATTCTCGTGTCTTTTCACTTTCTTCGACTGTAACACGTGTATACTTAACGTTTTGATAGTGTACCAGATAGCGAATTAAAGTCTAGGCCAGATACTAAGGATTTTGGCTTGAAACAAATCGAAGGCACTGGCCTCTCCATGTCTGCGTGTCGTGAAATAGCAGTAAGTATTTGTGCTCAAAATTCAATGTACACGGTTCCGATCCGATGAATTTCTGTCCACAGTTACTTAGGGAATTGAAGCATGTAAATGTAATTACATTAATTAGAGTTTTTCTATCACACATTGATCGCAAAGTCTGGTTACTGTTCGACTTTGCTGAACACGATTTGTGGGTACGTACGCAGCTGCTAGGAATATTAAATTGTTTGCCTTGCGAAAGTTTAAATTTATTTTGTATTGTATAATCTGCAGCATATAATAAAGTTCCATAGAGCAGCAAAGGCTAACAAGAAACCTGTGATGGTTCCAAAGGGAATGGTCAAGTCTTTGTTGTATCAAATTCTTGATGGTATTCATTATCTACATTCCAATTGGGTCCTTCATAGAGATTTGGTAATTTATTATTACATATGAGTATTACGCTCGCGTAACTGTTGTGTATACAACTGTTTTCACGTACTGTGATCTAGAAACCAGCAAACATCTTAGTAATGGGTGAAGGAAATGAAAGGGGTCGTGTAAAAATTGCAGACATGGGTTTTGCTAGATTATTCAATGCCCCCTTGAAGCCCCTCGCCGACTTGGATCCAGTAGTAGTAACATTTTGGTATAGAGCTCCAGAATTACTTTTAGGTGCTAGACATTACACGAAAGCTATAGGTATGTATTTAAAAGAGACTGATTTATGTATTCGTCGTCTCCTCAAATATTTTCCCTGACGTTTCTTCCAGATATTTGGGCCATTGGCTGCATATTTGCAGAACTCTTAACTTCAGAGCCTATATTTCATTGTAGGCAAGAAGATATTAAAACTAGTAATCCATATCATCATGATCAATTAGATAGGTACAAATTACGATGGTATAGCGTGATATTAAATAAGAAAGTAGAATAAAAGTGAATTTTGTTAACACTTAGGATATTCAATGTGATGGGATTCCCATTGGAGAAAGACTGGGAGGATATTAAAAAAATGCCGGAACATCCTACGTTACTGAAGGACTTTAAAAGATCAAAGTTAGTATTCCTCCTTCATTCGAAATGCGAACTGATCATTTTTTAACTGATGCATCCTTTCACAGTTATGCGAATTGTTCCCTTACAAAGTATATGGATCGGCATAAAATTAAACCCGATAGCAAAGCTTTCAACTTGGTATGATCACATATAATTTCTAATCCGTTCGAAACGTTTGCTCGTGCGACGATTATAATTTAGCCCTTTTAGCTTCAAAAATTATTAATGATGGATCCTAATAAAAGAATTACCTCCGAGCATTCTATGCAAGATGCTTATTTCCAAGAAGAACCACTGCCAACAGCAGAGTACGTCTTTTGCTTATACAATTTCTCATCCTGTTAATTAATTATCTCTAAGATCAAATGATGTTGCAGTATATTTGCCGGTTGTCCTATTCCGTACCCTAAGCGAGAGTTCTTGACGGACGACGACACAGAGGAAAAGACTGAAAACAAAGCGCGACAAAATCAGCAGCAAACTGTAAGCATATCATTTTATTAATTTAATCGATCCGTTTGCTCAATGCGCGAAATTGCAGCAACAGAATCAACAGCAACAAGGAAACGGCGATCACAATCACGGACAGAACGCAAAGCGCGTCAGACTGAACGGTCCCCACGGAGCTCCGGAGTTTCATCAACACCAGAGTCATGCGATGACCCACCAACAGCCACCGGCGATGGTTTACTCGACCGCTCAACCGACGCAACCATCCAACTTCCACCAGCGTTTCTAAATTACATTTACGACTCGCGATAATATGACGATTAAATTATTCGAACTTTATGAATTCCACTGATTTGTGTAACTAGAGCAGTGACTCCTGTGTATCGATTCGCAGCACGATTAATGTACAATACGTAACGAAACAATTTCCTGGCATTTATTGTTCCAATGAAGACGATATCCCGTTCACTGCTGCTTGATCAATGTCGTTTGGAGCAGTATGCAGACTTTTTATTTCTAATAAACAAAATCAGTTTTCTATAACTTCTTTCTTTTATTTTATTTTTTCCCTTCGTCAATCGCGACTGAACGAAAATCGCACTCGCATATTATTTCTGATGTTATAATATATTTTATTTTAGACGTTTTAAGAAAATTTATGTTCCTATTCATAAAAATGTCTCTTTCGAAGCACGCAAGTTTAAAAGAATGTAAGAAAATGAATTTTTTAAACGTTCTTAAATATTTTCGCGTTCTCCTAACGCCGAGCGTCAAGATCGAATTAGATGCGAGTAGGATGTAATTAAAAGAATTAACGACAGTTACGAAAAAGGGAAAATTGAACTATATAGAAAATGCAAATCGGTGTAAATGTAAGGCAGCGGTCTTGAGGAGGAGCGGCGAGGATCGAGGCTTTAGCTAAATCCGAGCGGAAACGAAGTGCGCGTGCGCGCTAGATCGTTCCTCAGGCAAGGTGGCGGTCAGTCGCGCGCTCCTGAAACGCAGTTTCCGCGAATCGGTGCTCGACGAAAAAAGTGTGCGTGCGCCGCGTGCTACCACCGATCGAAATGCCGATCGGACTACGGATCGGTCACCCGCCAGTCGACCAGTTTCTTAAATGAAAATAAAAGGTGAGAATCCTCATCGATCGAGCGTGCCACCCGATCGTTTTTTTCTATCGTTCAAAGTTTCATTCGCGGACGCGAACACCTGTCAAACCTGGCCGCGTGTCTTTCCTCCGCGTCGCGAAACGTCAAACTTCGATCGAAGATCGAGCGTGCACGTGAAAACGTTCTCCTGCTTTTCCACTCTTCGAACTCAGTTTGACAGCTCGGGATGGTGCACGCGTTATTTCCATTTTCGGATGAACAGCTTCGCGTTGCACAACATCAAAAGCGACCTTGCATAATAACGATGAAACAATTTTAATCGGCGATTCTACGCAAAACTCGACTCCTTATCGTGTCAAAGTTCAAGGATGCTTCCTGACCGATGGTGTAAAATCGTACGAATCTTAATCGGTAATCGCGACGTTCATCGTAATTCCTTACAAATAGATGTTTTGCAATTAAAATTCGCGAGGTCGTTCCATAGGAAATATATGAATTCGACTCAGAAAATTGAAAAAGGTAGTAGATATTGCGAGTAGTTGAAATGAAATTGACATGTTATCACTGGGGATGCATAAGTAAAAACGGCGCGAGCGGGGACGATCCTGATCACTATAATCATACAAACCGGGGCCATGACCACGTTGCAATAAGGTAACCGCAATTAACTTGTATCGATTAACCATCGAAATTGTTGGCTTTAACGTGGACTGAAGAGGAGCTGCAAAAGCTTTATCAAATGATCTAGAGAACCAAAAGATAGTAATTTCTGTTATCTTCGTAAAATGAATCATTTCTTACAAGAATTGCTTTCATCGAACTGACGATCAATAACACGAAATTTATATCGATGTTGATTCATATTGAAAATTCTGACACGGCGTGGAACAGAAAAAAAATCGAAAGAGGCCGGGTTTTCGTTTCGCGCAAGGACGTTCGGAGTATTCTATTCCGACTTTCACGTGAAGACAAACGTGACGAAACTAACAATCGTGTATCTTTGGTACGTAACGCGCGAAAGGTCTTGTACGAAACTACCAAAAGAGACTACATTATGTTAAATCGTTATTTCAGAGACTGTTGGCATTGGAACGATTTAAAAAATACGTGGGATGGCTCGATAGATGAAATACGTTTCGCAATTACCTCGCCCCACCGTTCGTCTCTTTCCTCCTCGATGAATAATAATCGATCTTTACTTTATCACGTTATAACAGTCCGATCTGTTGAATTACGAACGAGCGGAAGATCATGGGCCCAGATTCGAAATATATTCAACTGCCAGGCACAATCGACATTGTTTATAACTCTTGTTTAGAATTCCAAACACGTGCATGTATGCCAGTTATGACATTTTTATTGAGCTACTTCAGAATTCTGTTAAAGAGCCAAGACGTACAGTAGCTGTAAAAAGTAATTTCGTTTGCATTTCACTTAGTCAATTGAACGTCGAACGTGCCCACAAGAAGAGATCGGTAACGACGCCCGCCTTCTCTGTGAACCGATCTAGTAACGATTCGGAAATGCATCGAGTCGCGCACGTGCGCTGGATCTTTGGTCCGCGCCGGGTAGAGATCTATGGATCATTCGGTTCCGCAGCTGAGATACGTTGAGCTACGATACGTTTTATCCACCTTGTCCATAAGCAATACTCCGTTTCGAACCTCGAGACCTCTCCGTGGGTTACGCGCGAACACGTCATTTGTTCGCGTTTCGCATTGAATTCTCTTTTTCGGTGACGAACGTCCGAAACGACATTGGCAACTTGTTTCGTCGGTCGGTGAAAGACGTAGGAAGAGAGGAGAGCAGATCGCCGGCGAACCGAGCCGAGCGAGCACACGCGTTTCAGCGTTTTGCGTTCTCGTACGGCACGCGAAAGAGAACGAGAACAAGAACGAGAGACAGAGAAGAGAGGCGAGGTCAACAAGGTACCCGATATGGTATCCCACGTCCGCCGCGAGTGCTATTTCATGTATATGTATGCCTAAATATACACGATACACACGCAAATTCGTACGTACGCCCCGTAAGATCGTCTCTCCGGCTCGCCTCTAGTATTAGCAATCGTCGCGACTGAATTACTAAATGCAGTTTTATTCGCGCGAGATCGACGCTGCCGATCGTCGCGTCCCGCGTCGATCCAAATGATCCGTGCGGGCATGTTTTTCCACGGCTCTTTGATCGGAGCTAAATGCGAAGTTTGTCAAACTAATGAGCCGATTCAGCCGCGTCAGGATCATTTACCGTGGAAGGACGAGGGATCGCGCTTTAATAATTGCGCAGCAATCATGTATAAAGCCTTGGCCGCAGAGATGATGAACGCACGCCGTCCGAAAAGGTGTTTCGGAAGGCGACCGACAAAACCAGATTGGTCTTTTCCTCTTTTTCGACGGATCGGATCGCGGCCTTCCTAAGATGGCCAGTGACCGTAAATGCAGACGTGCAAGTGCGAACGCCGAGGTCGTCTGTAGGAACGATTGCAGGAAGCACCGATTACTTAGTACGGCCGCAGCAAGGCGTACCAGCATGAATCACTTCGACCAGCCTCTACTTACGTACACCGATCGCGTTTATATTCGGATCTCTCGCTCGCCGTTTCTGTCTCTCCCTTTCCTCGCTCGCCAATTATTTTAATCAGCGGAAGACGGCTTAAGTATAATTTTCACCGAATAAATGCTGATCGATCCTCACCCTGACTCTTTAATTTCAAATCGCCTAATTGGATCGGTACTTTGGAAATGGATCGAGCCAATGATAGAGTCGGGGGTGACGACCAAGGCGTGACTGCTCAATATAATCGTGGCCCTTTAATAATATTCAAGAATCTATTTTTAAACGTGACTAGAGGTATGCGTATGCATACGGTGACGCAATCTTATGGTCTTTCCCCTATATTACCCACTCTCCCGTTCTTCCTCTCTAGCCCTTTCACTCTTACTCTTTCGCGACTCTTCCCCTATCACTCTTTCTCCTTTGTTCGTTTGATTATTCTCGTTGTTCCACGTCCTCCAACGCGCTCTCACAATTTCATACGGGGCGGGAAATTTTTCGAACGGTGGTCGATCCCATCATTTTTTAGTCACCGAACGTTCTCGCTGGAAATCGTGAGACGTGGAATACGCGGATTTTTATGAGATACGCGATACTCCTTTCTGCTTGGAGACTACGCGCTGTTAGTCATACGAGAATATTTATGTGACACGCATAGGAAAGAGCGCGATACGTCGATTCTCAACCTAGACCTCGTTTCAGCTTCGATTCACGCCGAGAGGTTTCAATATTTATCCCCAAACTCGATTCAGATTTTATGCACTTCTGTGCAAACAAGCTGAAATGTATAGAACGTTAAAACCCTGTTCGACACGCAGCGATTAGGATTTCATTTTTCAAATTGAGTTTTATTTTACACAAAGTCTAATCGTATCTGTTACGTTCTGTACGTTTGCATTTTTCTGACACGGCGCTATATCGATTCTAAATAACGGTAAGGAAAATTCGATTCCCGTTATGAAACATTATAAGACGCTATCGGTTTACCACGACGCAGTCGCTCCCTGATACGTCGACGAAATTAGCGATTGTTCCTCTGTTGCAGATTCGGAGCGAAGCGTTTCCCAAATGCGATCGAAATGGATTCCCACGTTGGGCTCGACTACATCGTGGACAATCCCGATTACTGCGAGAAGCTCGCCTCGGGTATATTTTATTAGCCATAAAGCCTATCAGGCCGAGTCAATGTCGTACACGCTCTGTATTAAGATTTATGGACGTGGGCGTGGATTTCATGTTGTATGAATTTCAGCGTTGGACACCGCGTGTCCCTCGGTGAAGAAACAAGTGACGGAACTGCTCTCGGCGCTGTGCGTCTACAGCCAGGATGGAAGGCAGCGGGCCATCGACGCTCTTCACGCGTATCAGGTGATCGAACTCGGCTAAATTCGAGCAAAGATCGTAGTCGATAAATAAACGCGTTACCGCAGAGTACCGCAATCGTTACCGTGAAGGTATTAAGTATCGTTTGAAACGCAAGGTTGCTGCGTCCACTCGATCGTACGTAGGTGTACGGGACACAGAGAAGCTGCGCCGAGCTTAGGTAAAAGTCACAGTTCAAGGTCTCACCGCGGCGAACAAAAGAACAATACGTATAATGCATCGTACCGTTCCTTGCAACGCGCCAGGTCACGTCACGCTATTCGAGCAACGCTTCTCCTTGCGAAACACCCCTGAACTGGGCTAACATTCTATACCTCATTGCCTCCCTATTATATAATACGAGAGATGTCGATGGCGAATGTTCAGACTGGAATTCAGACTCCGATAGAAGCGTGATGAGGCAGAATGTCAATGCCATAAATTGATCAAGAATATCCTGTGTCTTTGTTTCTCGATAAATTGAATTGTTCGGTGAACGCAGATTTTCGATAATAGATGTTGAAACATTTGTAGAAAAGGAAAGGTGAACGGTACCGGTTGCAAGTCGTGGTGGACGAGCTGCAGAACGCAGCCACCGAAGATTACAAGACCGCGCTATTGGCCTTCATAAACTGTCTGGTCATCTCGACGCCGGTACTGAAGGATCGGATAAGGCTTCGCAACGAGTTCATCGGTTCGTATCCCCCCCCCCGGGTTCGAACGATTTCGAATCGAATAAAACTGGAGACTCGTAATTCGGTATGTTTGCAGGGTTGAAGCTCCTAACGATTCTGAACGAGCTGCGGTGAGTACGACGAGCCGGATTTACGTCATTAACTTATTAACACCTTAACGTGGTTGAATAATAAATAATTAATGAACGTTACGAAAGGGCGCTTTATTGTCCCCACACCTCCTCATTCGCACCTAATGCCAACGGTTAATACTCGCCAGCCAGAATTATTAAGTGGTTTCATCGTGGATCGGTTGACTAACGAGACAGGCATCCATTCAAACGTCGTATACGACAATAAAATTGCATGTACTAATCCAGTCATCATTCACGTTCGACGCACTACTGGCATCACCCGTCTCTCACAAAAACGTTACTGTGTCATGAAAAACGGGAGACGAGAAATCTTTCACGTTGAATTGCAAATCACTCGGAGTATACTAATTTACAAAGCAAATTGTCAGCTGGTTGCACATCATATTCTAATAATTCATGTAAACATGCGATTTGAAATGATAACGAGAAGGAGGAACATGTTACACCGTTCGGTAAATAAAACAATTTCTCATCAGACGATCGCAGCTTGGTTCATCAATCTTCCAGCTTATCACTTATCAGATCGCACGCTATTGTTCTGGGTCGCATCCTACTTTTCCGCTTGAACCAGTATAGGTAGGTCTTGTCCTTTCTGTTCGGTCGGTCTCTACAGGAATAGTAAGATCTGTCATTCCATTCCGCGGGATGACGGACGGGCAAACTATTCTTGATCGAGCGTAGTCATTTAAAGGAGTCGCTTTAAATATCGTCCTAAATTGCTCGCCTAAGTGAAGCGAATCCTGACCGAAATATTCGTGCCTTGTAAAAAATTCGTGCCTTTGGTGAAAAAAAAAAAACGTTCGGAACTTTTTATCGTTTCTTAAGACAACGAGGGTTGTATGCAAAATCTATGAACTCCGAAGGCACAATGAGTCCTTGGTGCGCGTTCGATAGGTTCGCGTTTTCGTGTTTTGCCTCGCTTCCGAGTTCCTCGTACAGCTGAATGTTCCCGTTGTGAGCCAGCGAAAAATGAGGGAAGCGCCGGATGGAACATTCGCGCGAAACGCGGCAGGGTAGCACGGAAAAGGAACAAAAGGAATAGGCGAGACGCGCGGCTCGATGGGAGAGAGAAAAGACCGAATTAACTCTAGAAGCTTGGGACAAGACGCGGCTTTAGCTGCAACCGAGCTGGAGTGATGCACCGGCTGGCTGCGATGCATCTCGCTAGAATATTTACACGCGCGCAAGCCTCTTTCAAATTGCTCAACACTTAATCGTTTCCTTTTGCAATTCGCGCGCCGCGTGTGATTCCGACCCGAGTGAATTCACCGAGCACGTCCACGTAACATCGTTTCGAACAGTGAAGTTCAATTTCAATCGCGCATGCAGGAATTGTTTAAACAATCGTACGGAGTGCATCGAAGGAAAGTCGTAGCTGGAACTCAGAACACTAAATCGAGTAAACAACAATTAATCGTTACACGATAGGTTTTCTATTAAATGACAATAGTTAAAGAGAACACTCGGTCCCTTTGTACTTTGACTATACAGTCAATCCCAAAAGTTTATGTACCTTAGAAAAACGCATTTCCTATAATTAAAAAGAAATCAGACGTCGGAAGAACAATGCTAACAATAAATAGTTACGTGCTAAAAAGTATAGAAGGAAATATCCAATTAAGTATTGACGCTG